CCATTGTCATTTTTTCTTCGCCATATTAACAACCTGACAATTAAGTAGATTGTGACATTTCGTGCTACCGTATGCAATATCTAAAATCCTCCAAATTTTATTATTAATTTTTTATTTATTTACAAACATTTTGTTCTTAGAATCGAAATTCGAACTAGTAAAAGGTACATTGTTGAGTACAGCTCGGTTATTTGTACAATAATTTTGGGTTGTTGTGTCACAAGACTTAACCCAAAGCAAAAAATTGTAACACACACGTGTGGTCAAACAATTAAACGTTAGTTTAAAATAAAAATTTCAAGTTTTCAGATACAAATTTATGAATAAATTCGGTTTGAAATATGGACCTTCTTGTAAAAATTACTGTGGTCAGCGTAGCCGGAGTTGGACTGATGAGAATTAATTTTGTCTAAGCGCTTCCGAAATTTTACCCAATTTGTCAATGGGTCCGTACCTCCGTCTCCGCCCCCATCCCAAATAACCGAACATTTCCCTTTTTGTATTTTAAAGAGAATGCTCAATAAGTTGATAATTGTGTTTCTAGTTTTCATTCTAACAATAAATCACAAATTTTGTTTCACACCAACTCCAATATTGAGTAAAATATATTTTAATTTTATCCAAAGAAATAACGATATTGTCGAAATATACTAGAATTGGATAATACTCACTTCTCTGAAAGTCATGAGGCCTATGGGTCCCAAAGTAAATTCCGTTTTCACGTTACTTGAAAGACATGGACAAAGACAATATCGAAATGTGTAATTTAAGTGTCCCAATTATATCAGAAACAATCTTATCCGATATAGAAAACTGTAATAGTCCTGGCTAGCTACATTGTGTAATAATCAGATGACATAATGACACTAAAAAATTTTAAAATATGTTCACTAAAATTTTATTAATGTAAAAATAAAGATTTTGGCAAGTAGTTATCGAATTTAGTTTAAAATTTAAACGTTTTTAAGAAAAGATATTAATTATTTTTAAAAGGTAAATGTTAATACAACTATTTTATTTATACTCCCAAATTATAAAAACCCCTCTACCAACAAACTCAAATTGGGTAACCCCGCTTCGATTTTTTTACAATTGAGCAATTGTCAAAAATCTCCTTTTTAATCAAAAAGTTGTTTATTGAAACTACCTTCTTTTTTGTATCATGCGCTCATGCATATGAAGTAGCAAGTTTTCTATACGCATATATTTGTTTGTTGAACTTTTTAATTCGTTTGTAGAAGCCTTTGAAATTACAAAGTAGAATTTTGGAAATTTTAAAATTTATACAAACAATTTTGTGCGTAGATATAGAAAACTTGTTACTACACATCAAGGCACATTAAACAGGTAGTATCAGTAGAGCAAAAACAACATTTTCGTGTATTTTGTTGTTGCTTCTGGTATCGAGTGTCAAAAACTGTTCTGAATTTTTTCTTCTAAATCAAAGCGTGCCATGTGAATACAAAAAATTATAAAAAATAAAAAATTGAAATTGGAAAAAAATAAAAATTGATGCAAGTAAAATATGCAGAAGGCAAAGTGATCAAAATAAAATGAACGTCCGAAGTCTTCGCTAGCAAAAATCGAATGAATCTCTTTTATTTTTTAAAATGGCGTGTCCTTAACAACGAGTCTTAATCGCTAGTTACAACGAGTCTTAATCGCTACTTGTCTTAAAGCTAGGGTTGCCAACTAATATTCACTGTAACTACAAACAAGTTACTTAAACTATGACTTAAAGCTAGATTCTTAAGTAAAAGCACACGTACTCCTAAACCTTATCGACTCCTACAACTCGGCCGTCCTGACATTATAGAATCTCCTGATTCTACGACGTTAGAATGTACGCCGTGCTACGGTTTGTATTAACCTACAAATTGTATTAACCTACAAACGACTCAGTTTTTTTTTTTCTTTGTTGTCTTCGGTTTTTTTATATTCGTACCACGGTTTTAAATTTGTTATAGACCAGGTGCCTTTGTAAGGTATCTGTGTCTGTTGAAATCCCTCTACGTCTTCTACCACATACCGATCGTTTTTTAAAATTTCTGATACTCTATACGGTCCTTTGAATTTAGGCATTAGCTTGCTAGACGCTCCTACTTGCGAGCTAACGTTGAGTATTACTACATAATCACCTATGTTGAACTTACGTGGTTCTCGTCGCTTGGCATCTGAATATTCTTTATTGTAAACTTGCGCTTTGCTTTGTACTGCCTTCGCTTGTTCTCTTACACTTTCTATTGGAGCCGGGCTTGGGTCTTGTATTAATTCTAACACATTTTCTCTGAGACTATCTATGACTTTCCCTTTTTGCCTAACCCCGAACAATAACACGCTAGGTTGTTCTTTCGTTGCTTTGTGCACGGTATTGTTCATCGCGTGTTCTACTGACTCTAGTGTTTCTTCCCATCCTATATCTTCTCCAGAGTCTACCATTTTTGCAATCATTGGACCTAAGCTTTTATTAACAATTTCAGCCTGACCATTCGCTTGAGGGGAGTTAGTCGCTACTTTTATGTGCTCAACGTTGTTACATTCTAAAAAAGCTTTAAATTCGTTTGACGTAAAACATGTCCCTCTGTCCGACACTATAAACTTCGGCCTACTGTACGCCCTAAAGTACTCTTTTAAGGCAAAGATTGCTTCCTTTGACGCTGTAGTTTTAGCTGGATATAATCGAACAAACTTTGTAAATGCATCTACAACTACTAAGACATGTTTGTACTTTGTGGACTTGCTGTGAATCGGTCCGTAGTGATCAACGTGTATCATTTCAAACGGTATACTCCCCTTCGGTATCATATGTAGAAGTCCCTCTTTTTTACCGCTCTTATTTGAAAAGGCTATACACTTTAGGCAGTTCTCGATGTGGACGGTTGCTTTTTTTTTTATTCCCGGAAACCAGTAGCTTTTCCCTACAGTTTGCACAACTTTGTCTACACCTAGGTGCCCCATCTCATCGTGATACTTATATAAAACATGCCTTTCCATGGATTCTGGCACGTAAAAAAGTAACTCTTTGTCTCTTTTTTTATAAACTATTCCGTTTCTCATTTCATAGTGGGTGTTTTCTCTAAGTTCTAAATCCTCTCTTATCTTTCTTATCCGCTCATCTTTACTTTGGCATATAACTAAATTTTCTTCGAACGTATTTGCATGGATTACCAAAACATTGTTTACCCTACTTAGTGCGTCAACATGTTGCATTCTCTTGCCTGCTCTATGTTCGAGTTCGTAGTCATAATTTTGTAATTCCAAAGCCCACCTTGCTATCCTTGGGTTCATATCTTTTTTGTTGAGTGTCAAGGTCAGTGAGTTGCAATCGGTAACTATTTTGAACTTTATACCTTGCAGATATATCCTGAACCTTTTTAACGCATACACTATCGCTAAAGTTTCTAATTCGAAACTATGGTATTTAGACTCGGCTTCTGTTGTTCGCTTTGAAAAATAAAATACTGGGTGTAGTTTTTCATCTTTTTTTCTTTGCAATAGTATTGCCCCAAACCCCAAGGCACTAGCATCGCAGTGCAATTCAGTTGCGTCGTTCGGGTCGTAGATTGCTAACAGTGGAGACCTAATAAGCTTTTCCTTGAGACTGTCAAAAGCTTCTAACTCTGTTTCTCCGAATTGAAATTTTTTATCTTTCTTTGTAAGGTCGTGGAGGGGTTTGGCTATAGTCGAAAAATCTTTGATAAACCTTCGAAAATATGAGCACAGGCCTAGGAAGCTTTGAACTTCTTGGACTTTGGTCGGAATTGAAAAATTTTCTATTGCTCTAAGTCCCTTTTCATCAGCTTGAATACCTTCGCCAGTGATGACGTATCCTAAGTGTGAAACCTTTGATTGCAAAAATTCGCACTTGTCTAGCCGGAGCTCTAAGTTGTTTTGTACAACTCTCAAAAGTACTTTCTTCAGTATTTCTAAGTGTTGTTTCACGCTTTCTGTCGCTATCATAATGTCGTCTAAGTAAACTATTACTTCTCCACTTCGAATCATGTCCGCAAATATTTTATTTATAAACTTCTGAAAAGTTGCTGGCGCATTTTTAAGCCCGAACGGCATTCTCAAAAATTCATATTGTCCTAAAGGTGTAGTAAAAGAGGTGTATTTAACAGAATCCCTATTGACAAAAACATGGAAAAATCCGTTTTTTAGATCTAACTTAGTAAACACCTTTTTATTTGCTAATCTGTCCAGTAAATCGTCTATAAGCGGCATCGGATAATTGTCTTTGAACGTCACTTTGTTCAACTTCCTATAGTCTACACACAACCGAAGTTCACCCGTTTTTTTCTTAACCAACACTATTGGCGACACAAACTCTGACTCGCTTGGTCTTATGTACCCTTTAGCTAAGTATTCGTCGATTATTTTTTGTAGTTCTACCTTCTCACTGTACGACAATCTTCTCGGAGCACAAGCGAATGGCCTATTATTTTCTAACACGAGTTGTATTTCTTTTCTTACTAGGGGCTCATCCGACTTTTTTGAATTCATATATATTTTTCTAAACATATCTTGGAAAATTCTTTCATCATCACGACTCAGCTGTTCACCTACTTTTAGCTCTAAGCTCGTATCTTCGCACACATCTATTGCCATAATTTCCATTAGGAACTCATCGACGTTATTATCGTTTACCTTATTTTCGTTTATATCTCTGACATTGTTTACCTGTTCACTAGTATCTTTGCTTGTTGTATACAACCTATCCGTTACCCGATCTTCGTGCGCTTTCCCAACCTCGCCTTTGTTCTCGACATTGTTCTCAACTTCGCTTTTATTCTCTTATTCCGTTCTATCCAAAAACTCGACATTACCTATTTTTAGTTTCGCATCGCTCGCCTCGATAAAATCTCTACCTAGTAACACTGAGTAACCCATAGACCCATTAGGAACCACTAGGAGTTCAACTGAAACGTATTTATTCAACACCTTTATGTTACACTTCAATTTTCCAATAATATTCAAAGGGGACTTATTCAACCCGTAATATGCATCTTCAACCTGTACTAATTTTACTCCTGCTGGCACTATCACTTGCTTAATCAGGCTAACTGGGCTTCCTGAGTCGACTAAACATTCTACAAACATATCACTATTAGCATGTGCTGATACATATAAATTAAAATAACTTACGAAAGTATTCTTCGGCTTTTTGTACTTGTTACAGTCCACAGCATAATGACCTTGTTCGCCGCAAGCGTAACAGGATCCAGCTTCTCGTTTGGGTTTCTTGCAATCCTTTGCGTAGTGACCCGTGCAGTTACAGTTGTAACATCTCATTCTTTGGTCCGTGCGTACTTTTGCAGGTGGGCGATCGGGTAGGCTTATCGAGCGAAACGCTTTCACAACGTCATTCGCCGACGTAAAGTTTTGCAAGCGGGCCTGGTTTTGCAGTTGTCTGTCTGGAATACCCTCGATCAGATAGTCAGCCAACTCTTCGTCTTTCAAATTCAAATCGCTGCCTAGCATGCACTTTTCATTGAAGTAATTTGCAAAACTCTCTTCGTGCGACCACGTTCGCTTTTCAAACTTGCGCCGGCGTACGAGCACACTTTGGCCGGACGCAAACACCGACTTCATATCGCGGAGTAACTCGTCCACGTTTTTTGGTATTGTTACCTTGGCATTGTACCAAGCTAGAGCCGCTCCTTTTAGTTTAAGGTGTATAGCAACACCTAAAATCGCGTCGTCGATTTTCAGAACTTCGCGATAGTGCATGAGTTGGTTGTACCAAATATTAAAACCATCGCCGCCGTCGTAGACTGCTATAATATCCTTTAAAGTTTCGAAGGAAACATAGCCGCCACTTTTCTCTACACTCGCCATTGCATTGTCTTTCTCCAGGAGTGCCTTCTGGAGTTTGAGTAGCTGTATTTCTTTCTCCAACAGTTTAGCTTCTACGGCCGCTGCTTCTGCGTTTTTGTTGTTGTCGCTCGTTGTCGATTGGCTTGGAGCTCCGTTATTTTCGCTAACCTCGTTTGCGGTACTCTTCTTTGGGCAAGCACCAAAATTCCCGCTACGTACGCATACTACCCCGCTTCGCACACACACTGCATCCTCATCGTCGTTAATCACTACATTTCTAACTGCACTTTTTCCTCGCCGTTGTGTTTTGTTGCCTCTCCCGTTGTTCTCACCGTCGTCCTCACCGTTTGTCGCACCGTTGTCTCTACTTTGTGGTCTCGATCCATTGCCGTTATCCGCTACGTTGTTCTCGCCTTCATTTCTGCTGCTACCCTGGCCTTTATTTCTAACCTCGACCTTTTCTCGCCGTTGTGGTAAGCGCAAACCGCTACCCTCATCATCGACGTCACTTACGTCGTCGGCGTCATCGCTTTCGTCCACATCTTTTCCGCTTGACGCACCACGTGTCCCTGGGCACAGTCCACGAGCTTCCGCAGATAAATCGCTCAACCTGGCGGCCAACGATGCTTTTGCACCGCTAGCGTTGATGCCCACAGCGGTGCACCAGGCTTTCAGCTGGAGCAACGAATATTTTTCTGCATCAATGACGCCGTACTCCATATTCCGCCAAATTTTTTTTAAAAAAACTCAAATTTACTTTATAAATACTTTATGATGGGTCAAAGACCACTTCTGATAAAATATGCAGAAGGCAAAGTGATCAAAATAAAATGAACGTCCGAAGTCTTCGCTAGCAAAAATCGAATGAATCTCTTTTATTTTTTAAAATGGCGTGTCCTTTACAACGAGTCTTAATCGCTAGTTACAACGAGTCTTAATCGCTACTTGTCTTAAAGCTAGGGTTGCCAACTAATATTCACTGTAACTACAAACAAGTTACTTAAACTATGACTTAAAGCTAGATTCTTAAGTAAAAGCACACGTACTCCTAAACCTTATCGACTCCTACACAAGTAAATTTGTTTGCTTCTCGAGGCATTGATCCATCCTTTGCAAGGCCCAGTAATCAGCGGTCGTGCTGCCGAGTTGGGCGAACGTTCCAAAAGCTGCTATTCAATCGCTTGTTTTGTATGGAAAAAGGTTTCACAAGCAAATGGATTTTAACAACTTATAATTTTCGTGAGAAAAAATTAAAAATATTTGACATTTTCGAGACCAAATAATTTGAAAATAAATCAAATCAGCTGCTCTACTGATACTACCTGTTCAATGTACCTTGCTACACATTTATGAGCGCCAGTATTGGGAAATGAAAGTATCGTTTTGATAACGAAAAGTCCGGATATTCGGATAGCCGAATATTATCTTAGCTTCCAGAGTAACCGGATTTTTCATTTAGGTATCGGGGTATTCGAATATTCGGTTTATCCGGATAGTAGAAAAATCCGGATGAAGTTCCCAGCCCTAATGGGGAGTGATGCAGTCTAATATGTATGTATGAACGAACTCATTGCGCAGTTCAGCTCTGCCGCTACCAAGCAATATATGTATAAATGAGGCAAGCGTGCTTCGCGTAACTACATCCATTCGTACATATGTACATATGTTTGTATGGATATATTTATGATGAAGCAAACGGGTTTCGTTGATGTACTGATGGGCATATGTATGTACTTATGGACAGCAATGTTTTCATGTATGTACATATGTTTCAATGGTTGTATGTATACGCACATATGTAGTACCCTGCAGCAAAATTTAAAGAGTCTGGCAAAGCGCTAGTTCCGCCGAACAAATTTCAGAACTGTCTCTGAACTACTGCAAAAGGGATGCAGAGCTGGACGGTTGAAACTCATATGTTGCTAGCTGCGCTGTCATCAATGTTACTCATCCTGGTCATGCGAAAGCTGACATAAGATGCACAAATGTATTTTTTCGATTTTCTTACAGCCGCACTCAGAAACGTTACTTAAATTAGCTCTAATGGGCACTTAACTAATGATCGTTAAATCTGTTAATTAATACTTCCTCTCAGAGTTAAAAATTATGAAATAAACAAGTAAGAAAGTCTAAGTTCGGGCGGAGCCGAACATTAAATACCCGGCGCAAGTATTAAATATATGTTTTCCACCTTTCCGAAAGCTACCGCTACATGATAAGCCGGCGTGTATAAATTTTAAGTAAACTAGCGTCCTTAAATTTCAAAATATTGAAATTTCAAGCATTTCTGAAATTTACCGTTATATGAAAAGCGGCCGTAATTTTAGTCCGATTTCAACAATTTTCAATGGTTTACTTTTATGTGGCAAGCACAATAACCATACCGAGTTTGGTACAAATTGCTAGAACGGTTAGCGAGATACATATACGTGATCATAAGTGGGCGGTGCCACGCCCATTTTCCAAAATTTTATCATAAACGTATTTCCTGGCAAAGAATTGTTGCAACCATCATTTTGCATAAATTAGCTTTAATATTTACTGATTTGTCGAGGATTTCGTATTTCTCGAAATTACCGTTATATGGGATGTGGGCGTGGTTATTGTCCGATTTTAAAAATTTTCGGCCATTTGGTATGCTGTACCAGGGCCAACAACTGTGCCAAGTTTGGAATAAATTGATGCAGCGGCTATCAAGATATACACATGTGGCTACGCCCATTTTTAAAAAAATGTTAATATTCTTATTTTTCGTCTAAAATTTATTATAAATATCAATTTTGAGTGAATTATCTTCAGTAGTTACGAAAATATCGCAGTTTTTGTATTTCTGAAAATTACCGTTATATGGGAGGTAGGCGTGGTTATTGTCCGATTTTGCCCATTTTCAATATCATCCGTCGTACGCCCGAAAGAAGTACACGTACCAAGTTTCGTTAAGATATCTTGATTTTTACTCGAGTTATCGTGTGCACAGACGGACGGACAGACGGACGGACGGACAGACGGACGGACGNATTCTGATCATTTATGTATACATTTGTCTATATCTATCTCGATTCGTTTTGCCTGTTACAAACAACCGTTATGTGAACAAAGTTATAATACCCTTGTGCACAAGTGCGCTCGGGTATAAAAATTTAGGTATGTCCCCAGTTGCGGCCCTTCAATTTTGTGGCATCACTCACTTTTTTCGTTGAGTTTGAAATAAAATATAAAAATAAGTATTTATATCGTTTTGCGCGCACCGGCTCAACATACGCAATGGCTAAGTGAGCAGAGCACTGGCGTGCCATTCGAGAGATCCGAGTTCGAGTGCTAGGGCAGGAAATTTTTCTTTTTCCATTTTTATTTTTTTTTCTTGTTTAATTTTTATGAACTATATTTATTGAATTTTTTTGCTTCTTTGATCTAATTTTCTTTTGATTTATAGATTTTATTGCTTTAAAGAGGATTTTTTTTTTAATTTAATTAAATTGTTTGCTAAAAGACAAACAAGACCAATAACAAGCCAATTCTGGCATATGTCTTTCAACTCACCTCAGTCTTCCGAGAGACAAAAGTCTTTATATTTCAGCAACTATCTTGAAAGCCCTTTTCTGTATTTCGAATAACTAATTGAAAGATGTGCTAATAGTGTTGTTATATTTATCATTTAGCAATAAGTTTTCTAAAAACTAAACGAAATGAAAAAAATACTTTTTTTAAAACAGGAAAAACTAAAAATTTGAGAAACTTAAAGTGAAAGAAGAATCAAAAAAGTATCCAAACGTTAAATAAAATAATATATTTTAATTTTTTTTTAAATACAATTTTTTTAAGTTTTATTGCTTAATGTTAAAAGGATTGAACTCGGATCTCTTGAATGGCACGAAAGTCCTCTGCTCACTGGGCCATTGCCACTGTTACACCAACGTTATCGAAGTTGAAATTTATTGAAAACAAACAAAAAATTTCAAAAGCATTCCTCAAAAAGTTAAGTAAAGGTTTTTGTTTACTTATCTTTAATGTTCATTAAATGCCGTTAACGAATCATTAACTGACTCTGAGCGGGAATTTTTTCAAATCGTTACTGAGGGACGCCTTAAGTAATCATTAAACGACTCTGAGTGCGGCTGNCAAAAAGTTAAGTAAAGGTTTTTGTTTACTTATCTTTAATGTTCATTAAATGCCGTTAACGAATCATTAACTGACTCTGAGCGGGAATTTTTTCAAATCGTTACTGAGGGACGCCTTAAGTAATCATTAAACGACTCTGAGTGCGGCTGTTAGACCCTAAAACTAATAGCAAACTGTTTTCGTTTATTTAATATGTAATTCTCTAGTTTATGGGGCAACTGCTAAAATATTTCCAAAAAAGTGGTTATTGGTAACATTAATGGAATTTTTATACATATATACGTACGTATAAAATTGAATGCAAAATATAACCATAAAATTTAATTAAACTACACTTAAGAGCAAAATTCTGCTTACACCATTTTAAATATTCACAATATATTGCGAATTAAAATTGGTTTGTTATTATTTAATAAAAAACTGATCATGCTTAAAACAAAATCATATAAACCGGGTTTTCCAGCTTTAAATAAAACAAAATTAAATTTAACAGTTTTTCATCTAAATTTTTTACCTTTTAATCAGATTAAATAACTAAAATAACCGAAAGTGGTAAAGAATCTCACTTTGAAATGAGGGTGCTATTGATATGACCGATACTGTACATACCTAAATATATCACCGAGCACCCGAAATGTGTAGTTATGCAGTGATGTTTTTTTTTTAATTTCCAATGTTTTTCATTTTAAATATTTTTCGTTAAGTTTTTATTTAGGTACTATGTCCTATATTCCATAAACCATTGGAACTCAAATTCCTAACTGTGATGCAAACTTGATAGAACTCTAAAAACTGTATTCAAATTTCAAACTTTTTAATCAGAGATTTTTTATAAATATTTCGAGTATTCTGTTTTGTAGCCCATCAAATTTTAGTGTAGTAAAGTGTAATCTTGCATCTTAAACGAAAATATTTAAATAAGAGAATACCTTCAAGAGCGTGCGTAAAAAGAGTTATAAGAAATTAATGGGCTATAGAACTTATATACATACTTATAAACTATGATTTAAAATATTGAAGTTTTTATAACAGTTTCTAGAATTCTACAAAATTTCCAACACAGTTAGAAACGTGAATTTATATGTTTATGTTATAATACTTATGAGCCATCCTTACATAAAAAATTTACGAAAAATATTTAGCATGAAAACCATTGTGAATATTTAAAATTCTATATATTCTTATTTCGATGCCGGGAGTTTATGTATTATCTTTCAATACATTTAATACAATTTAACGCTGAGTTATCACAAAAAAGCATTTAATATATCACCGTTTTTCTCACTTGGTTTAGATTTTTAATTATAAATAAAAATTATTTTTAAAAATAACGGTTTTAGAAAATGAAGGAATAACTGACACTTTATGTTCCTAATTTTAAAGCACAAATCGCCTCATAAAGTAAATTAGTCCAACACAAATAGCTATTTAAACATAAAATTAAGTATTTTTCATTTACAAAATTGTATGCGTGCTTATTTAAAGAAAAGGCTCTATACTATATTTCTTAGAACCAGCTCAACACTAACCACATTTTTTCTAGCTCGGAGGTGTTGCTAGGAACTGTTGTTATATGAACTGTCTTAGAACCATCTAACCTAAGTCAGCTCAGAACAAGTTAAAAAGTTCTGCAGAGGGCGACAATTGTCACTTCGTAGGACATCGCCATGTTAAAAAAGACAGTTGAAAGCATTGATTTGCGATAGATGAAGAACCAGTACCGTCCCTTTTCAGGCTAGCTCAGCGCAAGTTCTGAACCAGTTTGACTTGCTGCAGGGCTACAAACGAAAACAAATCTAATAAGCGCTCGTTGATATAAATGCGAACTGTACTGATTGTCAAAAATTATGAGTTTGTTGTACATTTGTTCATGTTTGTCAATGTGCGTGCAATTTTTATACCCGAGCGCACTTGTGCACAAGGGTATATTAATTTTGTTCACATAAAGGTTGTATGTAACGCCACAACGAATCGAGATAGATATAGACAAAT